AAATGTACAGGAAACCAACAGTGAAGGGAAGGAATCTGGAACACAAACCAACAATTTGGAGAAGAAGGAAGAAATAAACATTCAACTAGAACAGAATGAAGAAACAAGAATTCAAAAAATGAGGAGAGGCTTAGGAACCTCCAGGAAAACTTTAAATGTTCCAATAGCTGAATCATAGGGGTGCCAGAGAGAGGAGGAGAGGAGCAAGAAATTGACAATTTATTTAGAAAAATAGCGAAGGAAAAGTTCCCTAATCTGGCAAAGGAAACAGACTTCAAGGAAATCCAGGAAGCTCAGAGTCCCAAAGAAGTTGGACCCAAGAAAGCATACACCAAGGAACATCACAATTATATTATCCCAGATTAAAGATAAAGAGAATCTTAAAAGCAGCAAGAGGAAAGCAGACAGTTACCTACAAAGGAGTTCCCATAAGTCTATCAGCTGATTTATCAAGAGAGACCTTACAGGCAAGAAGGGGCTGAAAAGAAGTATTCCAAATCATGAAATGTAAGGAACTACATCCAAGATTGTTCTACCCAGCAAAAATATCATTTAGAATGGAAGGGCAGATAAAGTGCTTCCCAGATAAGGTAAAGTTAAAGTAGTTCACCATCACCAAGTCCTTATTATATGAAATGTTAAAGGGACCTATCTAAGAAAAAGATGATGGTCAAAAATATGAACAGTTAAATGACAACAAACTCATTACTATCAACAACTGAAACTAAAAAACAAAAACTAAACAGAATAAGCAAACAACTAGAACAGGAACCAGAATCACAGAAATGGAGACCATATGAAGGATTAGCAGTGGGGAGGGGGAGAAGGAAGAGGAAGGGAAATGGTACAGGGAATAAGAAACATACATAGTAGGGGGAGCACAAAAGAGACAGGGGGACATTAAGAATAGTATGTGAGATGGAGAAGCCAAAGAACTTATATGTGTGACCCATGGACATGAACTCAGGTAGGGGAATGCTGGTGGGGGGTTGCAGGGCAGAGGGCAATAAAGGGGAGAAAAATAGTGGGACAACTTGTAATAGCATAATCAATAAAATATATTAAAAAACAAATTTTCAATTGATTAATTCCTCTATTCTTACAATATAGTTGAAATACCACTCGAAAGCCCACATAACCTAACCCATTCCTTCCTCCCAGAGTTCATCATGACACCACTTTTACCCTCATTCTCATGGTACTTTCCTATTGCTCCAACAGGCCAAAATCTTTGTCTGGCCTAAGGCCTGGGTTTTTAACATTGTTTTCTGCTGGGAATGTTATTTGCTCAGATCTTCAGATGTTATTTGCTTCAGATCTTGTCATTCATGTTGCAGCTTAAAGAGTTTTTTTCTTACCACTTATCTACTGTTGCTACCTAGTTACGATTACATAGTCTTTTGGTATTTTCAGATTTTATTTTTACAATTGAAATAAATGTTCTTTCATTTGTTTACCTGTTTCTGTCAGCCTTTCCCCTCTAAAATATTGATTCTATGGGAATGAGGAGCTTCACTGCTTGGCACATAGTTCTCAAAATTTGGAGGAAAAAACCAGATTTTTTTTAGAACTGTTATCTTGGGTCCTATATAAACATAGTTGAACTCTTCCAAGCCTGCTTCAGAATTAAAACATAAAAACAGAAATAATTTAATCATCACTCAAAAGCTGCTAGAAGGCTTCATTTAATACAGAAAAAATATTTTACTTTGATGATCTTTTATTTAGTTTTACTTCGTATCCTTTATTTATCAGTTATTTTTAATTAAATATATTGGGGTGATATTGGTTAATAAATTATATGTTTCAGTTGTACAATTCTATAATACATCATTTGTGTATTGTAGTATGTGTTCATTACCCCCATATCATTTATTAATCTTTGTAAGAATGTATACATGGACTAGAGAGCCCTAAGTCCTCCCAGCAGCCCTCCCAGGTTGTTAGTTTTTTTAGCATGTTAGAGTCTCATCCCTTGTCAATGACCTTGAGGCTATCCTTATGGAACCACTTTAATTTGTCAATTTTAAGGTAAGGTATCTGCTGGATATGCATCATCTCATCTCTCTTCTCTATAGGCAACTACCTCTTGGTACTACAGACTGGTCAGAGTCCCAATATATTTTAATATACTTATTCTGTAAATGTGCTTCTTTAAATAAATAATAAAAGCTCTAAAGAGTGAACAGCTATTCTTACATTTATTTTTTACACTAAGATGGGAAATAATAAAGCTGAGGGTTGTTGGCAATAACACCTTCAGTGTATTTCCTACCATCTTAGATAGTAATATGAAATGTCCAAAGAAATTTTAACCTATTTTAAAATGTATGTTTAAATGGGCTTATCAGTTCTTGGGTCTTGGTAGACTAATGTTGAGAAAACTACATAAAGGTTTCATTCCGTATGCCACATTGCCGAGACCAAATCAATGAATTCTTAATAGACCTACTTCTATTATTTAGAGGGCATATAAGCTGGTATAGTCATCAAATGGTCAATCTACATACATCTAGAGTTGTAAGGCAGAATTTTAAAAAGAAAGTCAATCTCATAAAAAAATCTTTCTCACCTGCCACAGTATTCATCTTTAAAAAACTGGACTGCCCCCAATATAGCATTTTACCCCCCAAAATGCTTATGTAAAATATTTATATAGCCCAGAAAATAAACCAGATAATGAAATGTACTTATGCCTACTGTTTAACTATTTTTTAAAGTATTTTACTTTTTTTAGAGAGGGAAGGAGAAAGAGAGGGAGAGAAACATCCATGTGAGAGAGAATCAGTTGCGTCTTGCATGCACCCAACTGGGAACCCGGCCTGCAACCCAGGCATGTACTCTGACTGGGAATTGAACCCATGACCTTTTTGGTTTGCAGGGCGGTGCTCAACACTAAGCTACACCAGCCAGGGCTGTTTAAGTATTTTTAAACACTGAGCTATTAGCTATTGTCAAAAATCTTATTGTCCAGGAACTCTCACTTTTCCTAAGAAGTCTGAAATACAGTATTTCAATAGGTAGCACTCAACAACCAGATCAAATCCTAAAATCACATACCTAAATTTGTTGTTTTGAACTTCTGTGTACAATTTCTTGTAGGACAATTGCAGGAAATTCAGCCTATTTAACTTATAGTCAAATGAGTACATACTGTATTTCTCTTCTTACTGTTCATCAAGACGGCTGGTATCCTAGCAGTAAGGAAGGGGAGCTCTGAAACCTGGAGGACTGTACTTTATCCTTTGATAAAGGTGATTTCTGCACCTCCTCAATCCTCATCAGTTGTTCCTAATACCTAAAGTATCAGTAAGGTGGCTATAGTCACTCTGAAATTACATGTGCATATGAAACCCAGAATCAAGCAAGACAAAACGTCACATATCCTTTCAGAACACTACGCTTGACAAGTTCCCACATTTCCAGGTGTTTCAGTTCTTTTCCTCGGGGGGCATGAAAATAACTGGAACACAACAAAATAAGAGTGTGAGTTATATGTATTATATAAAGGAATTCAGCACAGCCTGGAAGCATAAAGCTTGTAACCTGATAGGTTTCATATCCTCTTCTTCTGCTTATAAAATGGCAGAACTCATAAAACAAAACCACTGTAAATTTAACTCAGAAATATACAGAAAAATGTCAAATGTTCTTCTCATTAGTCATTAAATTTTATATTTTTAGAAAACCAAAAGTGGTCAATGAAGTTGGTATGGGTCTTTATTGAACTTCAGTCTGTAGTTTTTAGTGAATATGGAAGGAAACACAAAGAGCCTTTACCAGAGGACCCAAATAAAAACTTGGGTTTAAAATATTTTCAAATTTGTTAAAATTTAAAGAAAACTAGTCTGTCTCACTTATGTTTTTAATATTCGTATTAACACTTCCAATATTACTATAATATCTCAAGACATTTTAAAAAATAAAGGTGAGATTAACTTACTTCTAAACATTAACTCACAGGGTCACTGAAAGGATGACTTAGATAGTGAATGTCAAAATAGGAACTGCTCAGCTGTTATTACTATGTACACTGCTCACTTTGACCTTTTGAACTTTCTTCCAATTCATTAATTGTAACCTTAGAATAAAAAATCAAAAGTGAAGGGATTTTGGCGAGAGCAATAGATAATAGAAATAAGGGAGATATTTGTTAGGATAATCGGTTACAACATAGAACATAAGAAATTATTCCCAGAATTAGAGTCAAGTCCTGAGGTGAAATGAGGATAGTTAAGAGTGCTTACCCTTTGCAGACACAGGCCAATTCACCCAACACATGCAACCAACACGCTGAACTGTGATAACAGGTGAATCACTGCGAACAAGTTGGGTCTGGAGGTGTATGGGGAAGAACTTCCAACCCTGATGACCAGACTCTTCTCCAACCCCTACGTTTAACGAGCACTTCTCCTACTCTTTGTGCCTGGCTTAACTTTGATTAACTGATCAAAACTCTTCCTAGTAAGAAAAGGGCTATTAACGAGCTCTTTTAGGGAGTTTTGTAATTATGACACCAGTAACATATCAGTAGCACACACCCCTGTCTCCCTCGCCACGATCTATTTATTTTGAATGGACAGGTTCAGAGTCAGAAAAACTAATTCATGTTTTTATTTCTCTCAAGAGTCACAGGCCTCATCTTCTAAGCTAAAGCTCTCTCCTCTGTAAAATGAATATTGACGGCGCCTGTCAGCTCCATCGCAACGCCACCGAGAGGATGAATGAGACATTGTCTGGAAGGCGCCAGGAGGGATGTCTGATAAACACCAAGTGCATCACTGTTTATAAAGTAGTACGCTGAGTCCCGTTATGCCCTCCCGACTCAATGAAATCGCCCAGTTATAACTGACACCCCCCACCCACTGAAGAAAGCTTCGAAGCGGGCCGGGAATATTCTTGCTGAATCTATCTCGGGGTGAGAGTCAGGAGCGACTCTGAGTCCCGCGGAAGGGAACGAAGGGAAAGGAGGGTGGGCGGACGGGTTACGACGAGCCTACCTGTTGTTCCGAATGCTGACCAGCACGCACAGCACCAGCTCCAAGTAGGTGCGCAGCACTTCCAGCCACCGGTTTGAGAGCTGCAGGGCCTCGACTTCCTCCCCGCCAGTCCCAGTGTCCGCGCCTCCTCCGTCGCCCGGGCCGCCGCCTCCGCTCAGGTAATTCTCAGCGGCGAACTCAACGCGCAGCTCTCGCACGAACCAGCCGCACTTGCGCATGAGGAATTCGAGCCGAGGCTGCTCCGTGGGTGAGACCCGGAGGCAGATGCGGAGCTGGGGCCAGAGAGCCGGGTAGAAGAGGCACTCGCGCCAGTGCGAGCAGGAGGCCGAGGCCCGCAGCCGGTCGGGCGCGGGAAGGAAGGAGAAGATGTGCACGATCAGCTCGCTAGGCAGCGACGCGGCCCCAGCCGCCTGCCCGCACAGAGCCATCCGGCCCCGCCGATGGCTGCCGGTCCCCGGTCGCCCCCGCAGACTCCGGAGCAGCCCCCGCAGCCGTTGCAGCTGCTGCAGCCGCAGCCACTGCCGCCGCCGCCACCGCGCCGCCCGGGCGGCCCCGGCTCGAGTTCGAGCTCCCGGCGGTCGGGGCTGCGGCACTGACAAGAACAACAACATCAATGACAAGGAAGAAGGGGGCGGAACCGTCGTGGGTCTCGGCAGAACCAAGTGCGGCACAAGTTGCGGAGAGGGGGAGAAGCCTCTGTGGAGGCGGTCCCCAGATAACCAGCTTCTGACCTCTCAAACTCTACTCTCGCGTCTCCGAGACTTGCACACGCAGGAACTTCAAAACTGTCATCTGTAATGTTTAAGGGCCCGGAAGCAGCAAGGTTTATTGTAACAAAGCGGCGGCCCTCCCCACGCCTGGAGCCCGAGGCAGAGAAGTGGTAGAAGCTTAGTTTGACGTCGCCCTTGGTGGGAGGGACTCGGCTGAAGGGAGCGACTTCCGGAAGAAGGAAGCGCCCGCTCGTCGGTCGGGAGGGAGGACGGGGCACGTGACTCCTGACGCACGCTGGCTGGGCAAAGCGGCAACTGTGGGGGGTTGGGGGGGTGGTGATCGTTCTGAGTAACCTTTCCCGCCACACAGCGGCGGCGGAGTTCGGTCGAGTCTGGCAGTCGGTTAATTTGGGCGTTCAGGCGATGGAAATGGTAGAACCCGGGTTAGAGCGAGGGGTCTGGACGCTTCTCTTCCTATTCGTTTCTCAGTTGCTGGGCTGGAGACTCAGAGCTGAAGTGCTAACATGCAGGGTTTTTCTCAGCCGTCCCACCTGCTCAGAGTCTTTTTAAGTTTCAGAGAGAGCCCCTAAGGACCGGGACCGGGTCCATTCGTGTGCGTACCCGGACAGGCTGTGTCTGGAGAGTTGCACGTGTGTTGGATTAAGTCGCACGTGGACCTCCCCCCAGGGTCGGACCGGGCAAATAGACCTTAGCGCACACCTGGTCGCGTGGGGAAGGCGTGAGGACAGCGCCACCCTTTGGGTTTAGAGGGCGGAGGGGGGATACGGCTAAGGAGATCTGCTGACTGGATGTGAATCTGTTCTCCAGGGTTTGGATGGAGACTCAGTTCCCAGTTCTGAGATTCATAGGGCCCTGGTAGAAATGAAGCTGGTGGTTATAGTAAAAGTTTTCTTTAGCTTGAGAGAAGGATTTTCCAGAGAGTGTCCCTTAACTTCATCACAATCTGGGAAGTAGTTAACTGGTTTTAATGGGCGGTGAAGTCAGAAAGGAATGTGACTTTATGTAATAATTGAGGATTGCTTTAGTGAGGCTGCCACTTCAAAGCCTCAACTGTGATCTTGGAACAGCCTTGTTCTTTTGTAAACTCCAAGAAGCTGTGCTATTAGATAATCTTAGCTCTTTGAGGGCAAAACTCTCTCTTTTCATGGTGCTTTGATGTGTTTTGGTACCTTTCATGTGCCACGTTGCCAACAATATTGTGTTAATTACCTCAGTACCTGTTTTTTTTTTAAAGCTAACATTCATGGTAAGTGACTTCTCTGAACCTGTGTGCAAGAATTCTTTCTATGTAATTATTATATCATGCATAAGTTAATGAGCACTTATGGAAACAGCAGTGCATTAGGAAGTTAAGACTTGGCATTTTAATTTTTTATATCTTAAACTCATTGATGTATTTTGTAGTGAGCCATAGACATCTAAATCTGCCACTTTTATCTACTTTAGTGTGCATAGCTATAAAAGTATATTACTATATAACAAAAATATTACTTTAAAAATAATTTCTTAATGTTATTTAACATTCCATCTTTAAATTTATCTAGTTATCTCCCAGATGTCCTTTGACCAGCTGTTTTGTCCAAACCAGGATCCAATTAGGGGCCACACTTGTTTTTGGTTATGTATTTCAAGACTTTTAAAATCTAAAATAGTCCCCCACTCCCCAGTCTTCTTTCTCTGATTAGCTGAAGAGGCTAGGCTTATTTTCCTGTAGAATATCTCACCTTCTGTAATTGTTTGACCACTTTCTATTGGTGTTTAGCTTACTTCTTTAGTCCTTGCATTTCTAATAAACCTGGACATAATGCTAAACACTTGACTAGATTCGTGACATCTTGATCTCCCTCGTGTAACGTTCTATGTTTTTTTTTTCTCCTTAAGACAAAATACTCAGGTGCTATTTTGGTTTCCTACAAATGTCCAGCCTCCATCATTCATTCACTTGATGGCCTTAATACTAATTGATAATTCTTGTCTGAATCATTATTTATTGAGTTTCAAAATGATATTTTCTAATTCTTTCATTCCGTCTATATTTAAGAGTTTGTATTCTGTAGAATACAGAAGTTTATTTAATAAACTGGCAACATTTAGTTACCCTGAAATACAATTGCTATTGGAAAGAGAAAAAAATGCTTAATTCTGTTTCTGTTCTTACCAATTTTGACAGTAACATTGCTTCAAAGAGTGACAAATGAATTTCTCTAGCTTTTATTTTTATTTTTTGAACATCATTATGTACTCACGGATTTTGGATATGCTTTAATCATTCTTTTTGTTTGTCAAATTTGGATGCTTCTACAACACCTCTCAAAAAATTCTACATAGTAATTATAATTTAAAAAATTATTTGAACATTTTTTAGTAGATGTAATATTGGACTGGTGAGAGGGTGAACTTGGATTTTGATCTTTTTTCTTTTTTGCTTTTCAATGATCTAGCTGGTGACATTTAACGAAGTTGCTAAATCTTTTGGGGCCTCACTCTTTTCATCTATACAAATAGGGAGTTTTGGCAGCCCTGATGTTCTCTAACTTTAAAGAAAAAACTAAAATGATTTTATGAGAAACATGTTGCATATCATAAAATTCACACAGTTCAAATGCACAACTCAGAGATTTTTAGTAATTTGACAAAATGGTGCAACCATCACTTTAAATCAGTTTTAGAATATTTTCATTCGTTTAATAAGATTCCCCATGCCCATTTACAGGTAATCCTTATTTTTACCCCCAGGTAACTACTAATACACTTTGACTCTAAATTTGCCTGTTTTTAAAAAAGATTTTATTTATTTATTTTTAGAGAGGGGAAGGGAGGGAGAGAGGGAGAGAAACATCAGTGTATGGTTAAATTTGCCTTTTATGAACATTTTATATAAATGGAACTATATGTTACCCCGACTTCATGTTCTTGGGGTTCATGCATGATTTAACATGTGCCAGTAATCCATTCCTTTTTTCCTACTGAGTATTATTCCATTGTATGGGTTTCTCTTTGTTTACTCATTCACGAGTTGATGGACATTTAATTTACTATTTTTAGCTATTATGAATAATATGTCTATGAACTTTCATGTACAGGTCTTTTGTGGACATGTTTTTCATTTCTTTTGGGTAGATATGTAGGAGTGAAAGAGATAGGTTATATGGTGGTTCTATGTCTAATTTTTGAGAAACTGCTAAACTGTTTTCCAAAGTGGCGACACCATTTTCCATTCCCATCAGCAATATACAGAATATGGCAAAAGTTGGTTTACAGAGTTGTGAGTACATGAAACAGAGTTTATTCTTAGACTATTATTTATTATTGTATTATTTTTCATATGGATAATTATAAACCTAATTTTATCACACCCTATATAAGGGTTTCCAGTCTCTGACTTAAAAAAAAAATGTATTCTATGCCATTGCAGTTGTTGTATTTCCCCCTTCATTCCCCTCCACCCTGCACACCCCTCCCCCACCATTCCCCCCTCTTTGGTTTATGACCACATGTCTCAAGTTCTGCAGATTCTGTATTTCCCCTACTATTCTTACCCTCCCCCCTATCTATTTTCTACCTACCATCTATGCTACTTATTTTCTGTACCTTCTCCCCCCTTCTCCTTCTCCCACTCCCCTGTTGCTAACCCTTCATGTGATCTTCATTTCTATGGTTCACTCCTGATCTAGCTGTCCTCTTAGTTTGCTTTTGTTGTAGGTATGGTTGTTAATAACTGTGAGTTTGCTGTCCTTTCACTGTTCACATTTTTTATCTTCTTTTTCTTAGATAAATCCCTTTAACATTTCATATAATAATGGCTTGGTGATGATGAACTCCTTGAATTTGATCTTATCTGAGAAGCACTTTATCTGTCCTTCCATTCTAAATGAAAGTTTTGCTGGATAGAGCAATCTTGGATGTAAGTCCTTGCCTTTCATGACTTGGAATACTTTTTTCCAGCCCCTTCTTGCCTGTCAGGTCTCTTTTGAGAAATCTGCTGACAGTCTGATGGGGACTCCTTTGTAGGTGACTGTCCCCTTATCTCTTGCTGCTTCTAGGATTCTCTCCTTCATTTTAATCTTGGCTAATGTAATGATGATGTGCCTTGGTGTGTTCCTTCTTGGGTCCAACTTCTTTGGACTCTCTGAGCTTCCTGGATTTCCTGGAAGTCTATTTCCTTTGCCAGATTGGGGAAGTTCTCCTTTATTATTTGTTCAAATAAGGTTTCCACTCGTGGCTGTTCCTCTTCCCCTTCTAGTACCCCTATAATTCAGGTGTTGGAGCATTTAAGGATGTCCTGAAGGTTCCTTAGCCTCTCCTTATTTTTTTGAATTCTTGTTTCTTCATATTTTTCTGTTTGGTCATTTTTTTCTTCCTTCTGGTCCACTCCCTTGATTTGAGTCCCAGTTTCCTTTTCATCAGTATTGCTTTCCTGTGCATTTCCCTTCATTTCAATTAGTTTAGCCTTCATGTGTTCCTCTAATTTGTGACTAAAATCAACCAGTTCTGTGAGCATCCTGATCACCAGTGTTTTGAACTGTGCCTCTGATAGGTTGACAGTTTCTTGTTCGCTTAGATTTATCGGCTCTGGGACTCTGAGTTGTTCTTGCGCCATGTTTTGGTCTGGTTGCACCTGTTACGTATGAGGAGAGGAGCCTTAATTGTTCACCAGGGCAGGGCCAGCCAGGTCGCTGTTTTGTGATGCTTTATGTGGGGGCGGGGTCAGAGGGGGAGCAATAGCGGTCTCCTGTGCTGCTTTCTGCTGCTTCCCGCCACTTGGGTCTGCACAGTCTGTCTCACTGCTCACTCCTTCGCTGGTTTATCTGCGTGCAAATGTGTGACCATGGTCAGCCTGCCACCTTGCGCCTTCACAGGGTCTGCCCGTTGCTACCCCACACCTGGGATTTGCCCTTGGCTCCCTGGGTTGGGGGATCTTTTTTGCCCGACCCGCTCCGCTGCTGGCTCCACCCCTCTTATCGGTCTAGCTGAGTGTT